GCTTTTCTCGCAACTTTTGTTTTGTTCCTGACTCTGTCTGATCCTGCCACTGTTTTCTAAATGCTCTGCTATAAAATCCTTGACAACAGATTCAAGAAGTTTTCCCACCACCAAGGTTCACTGGTCTATTATTCCCTGTTTTCTATCTACCTCCATTTTTGAATATTGGAGTGACATTAGCCACCCTCCAATCTGTAGGGACTGTTCCAGAGTTTATAGAATCCTGGGAGAGGACCACCAATGCATCCACTATTTCTAGAGCTACTTCTGGAGCTAGTGTAGATTATCAGGGCATTTTTCGGCTTTCAATCTCAACAATTTTCCCAGCACGCCAGATAGAAAGAAATCTCAAAGAATGTCTCATGTGAATATGCTCAAAAGATACTTTGATGGGGAAGGAAAGCACAAAACGAGAAGAAACCCACCAACACACAAACAACATCAAAGAACAAAGAAAATTACAGTACAGGAACAGGCCCTTCAGCCCTCCAAGTCTGCGCCGATCCAGATCCTCTATCTAAACCTGTCGCCTATTTTCCAAGGATCTGTATCCCTCTGCTCCCTGCCCATTCATGTATATGTCTTTACATCTTAAATGACGCTATCTTGCCCGCCTCTTCCACCTCCGCTGGTAATGTGTTCCAGGCACCCACCACCCTCTGCGTAAAGAACTTTCCACGCATATCTCCCTTAAACTTTTCCCCTCTCACCTTGAAATTGTGACCCCTAGTAATTGAGTCCCCCACTCTGGGAGAAAGCTTCTTGCTATCCACCCTGTCTGTACCTCTCATGATTTTGTAGACCTCAATCAAGTCCCCCCTCAACCTCTGTCTTTCTAACGTAAATAATCCTAATCTACTCAACCTCTCATCATAGCTAGCACCCTCCATACCAGGCAACATCCTGGTGAACCTCCTCTGCACCCTCCCCAAAGCGTCCTCACTGGGATAAAATTCACAAAAGAAGAGGAGAACAACAACCGACTACCCTTCCAGGACATAATGATAGAACGCAAAAACAACGGGGATCTCCAGTCTAAAGTATAGAGAAAGACCACACATACGGATCAGATACTCAATTACACTAGCAACCACCCCAACTCCCACAAACAGAGCTGCATCACGACACTATTTAAACAAACCACAACACATTGCAGCAACCCGGAATTACGCAAAGCAGAACAGGAGCACCTATAAAGGAGTCTTTAAAAGGAATGGATACCTGAAAAGCACAATCCGCTGTTACCTCTGAGACAGACCACAACAGGGAGACACAACACGACCAGACTCACTGATCACCCTATGATACATCAAGGACATTTCAGAGATGACCACAAGACGACTGAGACCCCTAGGTATCAGGGTACCCTAACCCTAACCCTAACCCTATCGCACCCTACGACCATACCCAAAACGATCAAAACTGGGGTAATATACAAAATACCATGCAAGGACTGTGAGAAACGCTACATAGGCCAAACCAGAAGAAAACTGACAATACAGATACACAAACACCAACTAGCCACCAAGAGACAGAACTAATTCTTACTTGTCTCAGTACACATGGACAATGAGGGACATAAATTCGACTGGGACAACACATCCATAATCGCACAAGCCACACAGAGACATGCCAGGGAATTCCTGGAGGCCTAGTATTCCAACTGGAACTCCATCAACAAACATATTGAATTAGACCCTGTGTACAAACAGAACTGGAAGTGGTACCAAACACCCCAACAAACCAAGGCATATATATAACAGGTGGGACAGAACACCAACGCTTCACCGGAGGTGCATTGATGATGTTACCTAGCAGGGTGATGAAACGTTTGCAACCAAATCCACCGGCTTGGCGAGCAAGTCTACAACCTCAGCCACAACCCGAGCTATAAATCTTCACGAAAAGTTTGAACTCATTTTTGTATGTTGATAATTCTTTATTTTTAAGAGGGGAGGTGTGATGATGCTTTAAAAGGTTTTTTTGTCCTAGGTTTTTCTTTGAAGAGAGGTGGTAAGACAGAGTAAGAGCAGTCTATGAAAATCACTAGAGTAAACAACTTGTGAAGCCTTGGTTTCTTTAAAAAGTTGGAACAATAGAAGCACCCTGGCTGGGTATGGCCATCTCTCACAGATCAGGATTACTTGGGTTTTTTTCAGTTTTTAGGTTTAGCCTTAAGTAGTGAGCATGAAGAAGTAGATACTATCTTTTCCCTCTCTCGGTTATAGCGAGTAGCGAGGTTTCTCTCGGCGCTCCTGGGTTACCGTGTGAGAAAAATCTATTTTCCTGAATTTCCCTGTTTGCCAAGGGCTGTGTTTATGGGATGTTACTATATTGGAACAGTTACCTCATAATAGCCACTATATCTATTATTTTCCAATAAAGTTTAAGTAGTTGTCGTTTCATCTTTCTTTTGTTGTATTTTAACTATACTGCTAAAGGAAATTGGTGGCTTAACATTGAGTAATTTGACCATTCGCAGTGCATCTGGAACATGGCACTTCACTTCTATCTTTAAAATAAGAAAACATTAGGGTCCAGACTACCTTCCTAACATATCTTGAAGGGGTCTGGTCCACAACAGTACTTACCAACGACAGCCGAATACTGTCTCTCCCATCTGATTTCCATCTCATCATAACACACACCCATCTCAGAACAATTTGCCACTCAGTTGATATCTGCCAGAACAGTGGCATCTCTTGTATTGGTGCCACCTTCACAAGGTCACTACGCACCCACACATGTCCTGGCACTTTGAAGCTGCTCTGTCCATTGAAGGACAGCATCTCAGCCTTTGGGACAAGGGGAAGAAGACGCTGTGATTTTCCCCACTAGAACCTAGAGGTCCTGCTGAATGGACTGGTGCAAAGGAGAGGGAGTAACAGAGGAAGCAGTGCCATGCGATCCTGCCAGTCTGCTCGGAGCCCTCTGTTCCCCCAGGGTAAGTGATACACTCTTTTCTCTGCTACTTCACACACACTCTATCTCATGTCCCATCCCTCTCACAGTTGCCAGTACCCACCTGTTCTCTCTCCCCTCAGCCTCCCCACACCATTAACCCTGTACACTGCCTTCTCAGTTTGTAGCTAATGCCCACTGTCTTTCTCCCACTTGCACTAACAATGACAATGATACCATCCACTGTCATCTCACTCATGCCCCTCCTCTTCCTCATGACAGGAAAACACAGCCCATGCCAGGCCAAAGAGAGCCTGTACAGATGGGGGTATGCCCAACAACCCCTTCACTCCCCACCTTGAGACGGAGAAGTCTGGGCCTGATCCTGTGGGAATGCTGAGATACCCATACCCCATCAAACAAGGAAGCACCATCTGTACCTCACTGCCATTCTCCCATGAACCTGCTGGCTCTCTCAGGGCATCACAGAACCTTGGAGCTCCAACGCCAACATTTCATCTCTGACCGGCTGATTACAGCCAACACATTGATGTTTGAAAGAGTGATAGTGTTCGAAAGGGGTTCATTCCTTACGTGTTCAGGCTGTCAAACTGTGCTCATCAGGGGTTGATTGTTCAATCCAGCAGAGGCATCTTTTTCAACTCTAAATGAAGAAGAAACCGGTGAAAGTTTAACCTGCACTGCCCAGTACAGCTCTCTGATCTGTCTGACTAGTGGGAATGGCTGTTTTGGATGGGGTCGTTGAGGTCAGTGTGAGCATTGGGCTTCACTGAGGAGGACATGCAGCAGGAAGGTGCAGCAAAGTAAGGTCTTTTCCTTTACTGAACAGGAGGCGATGGCACTTAGTGGTATTATCACGCATCTATGAATCCAGAAACTCAGCTATTGTTCTGGGGACCTGTGTTCGAATTCTACCGTGTGAGAGGGAGGAATTCAAATTCAATTAAAAAAAATAAGAATTAAGAATCTGCAGACAGCCATGAAACCATTATCAATTGTTGGAAAAACCCATCTGGTTCACTAATGTCCTTCAAGGAAGGAAATCTGCCACCCTGACAACGTCTCCATGTGACTCCAGACACACAGCAATGTGGTTGACTCTCAACTTCCTTCTGAAATGGCCTAGCAAGCCATTCAGTTGTATCAACGGCTACAAAGTCTCAAAGACATTGCACTGGAAAAGTCAACGGCTCTAACAGCCCTGTCGACTCTGCAAAGTCCTCCTCACTGACATCTGGGTGTTAGTGCCAAAATTGGGAGAGCTGTCTCACAGACTAGTTAAGCAACAACCTGACATAGTCGTACTCACAGAATCATACCTTACAATATCCCAGACACCACCATCACCATCCCTAGATATGTCCTGTCCCACCAGCAGGACAGACCCAGCAGAGGTGGCGGCACAGTGGGAGGGAGTTGCTCTGGGAGTCCTCAGCATTGACTTCGGACCCCATGAAGTCTCATGGCTTCAGGTTAAACATGGGCAAGATAATCTCCTGCTGATTACCACATACAGTCCTCCCTCAGCTGATGAATCAGTTCACCTCAATGTTGAACAACACTTAGAGGAAGCACTGAGGATGGCAAGGGCACAAAATGTACTCTGGGTGAGGGATTTCAATGTCCACCACCAAGTGTGACTCGGCAGCAGTACTACTGATCGAGCTGGTCGGGTCCTAAAGGACAGAGCTGTGAGACTGGGTCTGCGGCAGGTGGTGAGGGAACCAACAAGAGGGAAAAACATACTTGACCTCATCCTTACCAACCTTCCAGCTGTAGTTGCATCTGTCCATGACAGTATCGGTCAGAGTGACCATCACACAGTCCTTGTGGAGACAAAGTCCCACCTTCACATTGAGAATAACCTCCATCGTGTTGTGTGGCACCATCACCATGCTCAATGGGACAGACTTCGCACAGATCTAGCAAATCAAGACTGGGCATCCATGAGGTGCTGTGGACCATCAACAGCAGAAGAATTGTACTCCAGCACAATCTGTAACCCCATTGCCCGGCATATCCCCCACTCAACCATTACCATCAAGCCAGGGGATCAACCCTGGTTCAATGGAGACTGCAGGAGGGTATGCCAGGAGCAGCACCAGGCATACCTGAAGATGAGGTATCAACCTGGTGAAGCCACCAAACAGGACTACTTGCATGCCAAACAGAGAAAGCAGCAAGTGATAGACAGAGCTAAGCGATCCCCAAACCAATGGATCAGATCTAAGCTCTGCAGTCCTGCCACATCCAGTCGTGAATGGTGGTGGACAATTAAACATCTCACTGGAGGAGGAGGCTCCACAAATATCCGCATCCTCAATGATGGAAGAGCCCAGCACATCAGTGCAAAAGATAAGGCTAAAGCTTTCACAGTAATCTTCAGCCATAAATGCCAAGTGGGGAGGCTATGGGCTGTTGGTATTATCGCTGGACTGTTAATCCAGAGACCCAGATAATGCTCTGGGGACCTGGGTTTGAATCCCGCCATGGCAGATGGTGGAATTTGTATTCAATAAAATATCTAGAATTGAAAGTCTAATGATGACCATGAACCCATTGTCAATTTTTGGAAAAACCCATTTGGTTCACTAATGTCCTTTAGGGAAGGAAACTGCCATCCTCACTTGGTCTGGCCTACATGAGACTCCAGTCCCACAGCAACATGGTTTACTTTTAACTGCCCTCTGAGCAATTTGGGATGGGCAATAAATGCCGCCTGGTCTGGCCAACAAAGTCTACATCCTGTGAATGAATTAAAAAAAGACATCTTGATCTCATCTACTGGTCCCCAGTGTCACAGAGACCAGTTGTAGTGATTGTAACAAGAAACCTTGGAGCCTCAGTAGGTCACGGTGAATGTTGCAACCTCGATGCCTTTACCGCCTGAAGAAGAGGATGAATTTCTTCCTCCACACTCCAGGTGCAAGAGACGGCTCTGGGCCAGTCCACACCCCCTCTTTCCGAGACTGTGTCAGTGGAACTGGACCCAGAGCAAAAATGCCCCAGGAGAAGCTGCAGGAAAAAGAATGGGCCTACGTCCCAAGACTTCGAGGGGAGGGATGTAGTGATTGTAATGCCAGGTGGGCATCATACAATATGAGCTCCCTGATTGGGGCTGTTAAGTTAGTGCAATCGGGAGCCCTGGCTGACAGATATAAACAGGGGTGTCAGGGATTCTGCTCACTCTGAGAGCTGGCTCTGAGGAAGCCAGACTAGTGTCACGTATGGTGCACACAGAAGTAAAGGGTGCTATCTGAGGTGCTATCGGTTTTATTTGGACTCCTTGAGAACCAGGGAAACCCTGTTGTGATTTCTGACGAGGATAAGATGACTGGCAGAGGCATGTGACTTTGGTTTAACCCTGAATGAGATGCTGAGAGAATGTTTGTTATGTGGGGTTAATGATGTAACCATACAAAAGTGCTTTCTAGTTGAAGCCAACTGGACTTCAAACAGGCTCTGCGACTGGCTTTGTCATTGGAAAATTTCTCAATTGGAGCATGTAATTTACAACTTATACAGTTGGAAGTGGAAACTCTCACTAGGTTTTTTTCTTTATTGTTTTTTCCTTTATTCATTCATGGAATGAGGGCATCTCTTACAATGCAGCATTTTTGCCCATCCCTAATTGCCCAGAGGGCAATTCAGAGTCAACTACCTTGCTGTGGGTCTGGAGTCACATGTAGGCCAGACCAGGGAAGGATAGCATTTTCCTTCCCTAAAGGATATTAGTGAACCAGATGGGTTCTTCCGACAATCGTCAATGGATTCATGGTTGTTATTAGACCCTCAGTTCCAGATATTTTATTGAATTCAAATTCCACCATCTGCAGGATTTGAAGCCAAGTCCCCAGAACATTATCTGGATCTCTGGATTAACAGTTCAGCGATAATACCATGAAGGCATCGCTTCCCCAGACTGAGCTTGGGAAACACCACTTGAGTGAAGGAAATTGCATACCTGCACTGATGATATATCCTGAACAGAGGGACTCTAGGTCAGTCCACAACAAAACTCCAGAAACAAAGCCAAGCCTCGGCCAAACAGTTAAAATTTTCTTCTGGATCTAGGCCGGCAAGCCATTGTATTTGCTGCAGGAATGCGGACTCGAGGCAGCAAAAGAGTCATAGAAAACTTATAAGCAGAGAAGATAGGAGGAGGAGGAGGCCATTTGGCCCTTCAAGCTTGCTCCACCATTCTTCACGATCATGGCTGATGGTCCAAATCAACAGCCTAACCCTGCTTTCTCCCCATAACCTTTGATCCCATTCACCCCAAGTGCTATATCTAGTGGCCTCTTGAATATATTCAATGTTTTGGCATCAACTGCTTCCTGTGGTAATGAATTCCACAGGTTCACCACTCTTTGGGTGAAGAAATGTCTCCTCATCTCCGTCCTAAATGGTCCACCCCGAATCCTCGTACTGTGACCCTTGGTTCTGGTCACACCCACCATCAGGAACATCCTCCCTGTATCTACCCTGTCCAGTCCTGTTAGAATTTTATAAGTCTCTATGAGATTCCCCCCCTCATTCATCTGAACTCCAACAAAAACAATCCCAACCGAGGCAATCTCTCCTCACACCTCAGACCCGCCATCCCCGGAATCAGCCTGGTAAACCTTCGCTGCACTCCCTCGAGAGCAAGATCATCCTTCCTCAGAAAAGGAAACCGAAACTGAACACAAGATTCCAGGTGTGGTCTCACCAAGGTCCTGTACAACTCCAACAACACATCCCTGCTCCTGCACTGAAACCTCTCGCAATGAAGGCCAACATACCATTTACCTTCTTTACCACCTACTGCACCTGCATGCTTACCTTCAGCAACTGGTGCACAAGGACACCCGGGTCCCACTGCACACTCCCCTCTCCCAATTTACAGCCATTCAGGTAGTAACCTGCCTTCTTGTTTTTGCTTCCAAAGTGAATAACCTCACATTTATCCAAATTATACTGTATCTGCCATTGGTCTGCCCACTCACCCAAACTGTCGAGATTGTGCTGAAGGATCTCTGCATCCTCATCATAGGTTACCCTTCCACCCAACTCAGTATCATCTGCAAACTTGGAGATGTTTGCATTATTTTCCCTCATCCAAATCATTAATGTATGTTGTGAATAGCTGGTATCCCAGCACTGATCCCTGTGGCACCCCACTAGTTACTGCCTGCCAATTTGAAAAGGGTCCATTAATTTTTTTTCTCTGTTCATTTGTGGGATGTGGCCATCGCTCACTGGGCCAGTATTTCTTGCCCATCCCTGGTTGCCTTTGAGAAGGTGGTGGTGGGCTGCCTTCTTGAACCTGCTGTGGGTTGACCCACAATACTATTAGGGAGGGAAGTCCAGGATTTTGTCCCAGTGATAGGGAAGGAACAGCAATAAATTTCCAAGTCAGGATGGTCAGTGACTTGGAGGGGAACTTGGAGGTGGTGGTGTTCCCATGTATCTGCTGCCCTTGTCCTTCTAGATGGAAGTGGTCGTGGATTTGGAAGGTGCTGTCTGAGGATCTTTGGTGAATTTCTGCAGTGTATCTTGTAGATTGTACACACTGCTGCTACTGAGCGTCAGTGGCAGAGGGAGTGAATGCTTGTTGATGTGGTGCCAATCAAGCGGCTGCTTTATCCTGGATGGTGTCAA